AATCTGCATGGCACTTTACAAATAAAGTAACCCAAAACAACTTCAGTTTCCTATGCTATCATCACCATTATTATTATTATCATGAGCATTTATTTATGGAGTGCCATCAACTCGCAGGGTACCTGAACCATCACCACCATTATTATTATCAATGGCATTGTTTATGGAGCGACATCAACCTGCATGGCACTTTACAAGTAAAGTAACCCAGAACAACAGGGTTCCCTGTCAAAGCAACACAATGTTTATACACACATACATACATATACACACAAACATGAATGCGCATCCCATCAGATTTATATCTTACTTTTACTATACCATTATTATAATCAATTGCATTATTTATGGAGTGACATCAACCTGCATGGCTTTTGCTCGACCTCAGTGACCCAGTCTTTGCAGTTCTACAAATGAACTCAAAGTCACCTTTCCCGTTGGATATGTATTTTTCTTCAGTTTTTCATCACCACCACCTTCATCATTATCGTTTATTCATGTGGTGATGTCAACCTGTATGGGACTTTGCCAAAGCCATACTATCTAATATATATCTCACAGAGAATCTGTGGATAAAGAGAGTTGACTCTGTATGTGTGCACATGCGTATACTATACAGTACGTACTCAACCTTCCCATTAGATATTTGTCTTACTTCAGTTTTCTGTTGCCATCATTGCCACCACCATGATTCTGCATGGCACTTTAGAAGTACAATTTAAACAGTGAGTCTCGCCAAAATCATGTGATCTAATAGCCATCTTATACAGAATCCATGGATATGCAGGGTTGACTGTAAGCATGTGTGTGTATGTTTACAGTGAATCTATAAGTACAGAAGGTTTACTATATGTGTATATATAAGGATGTGTGTGTGATATTTTAGTATATGAATTCACGCTAAAAATCTTTTAATAGGTCTCCTGTTTTATGTGAATGTGAAATACATTTATTGTGTAACTGTTATAGACAGTTATGTTTACAACATACTGAGACACTTGTTCACTGTTTTACTGTAAAATAATATAGGTATGTTGCATTTAGAAATATTTAGTCAAGGAATATTGGAGTGGGGGGTGCCTTGTGCAATACTAGTATTGCTGGTTCTTCTGCCTGTTGACAGTCCAAGAATCTTTCTAATTTCTCTAAGTAAATAGTGAAATTTTGGCTTTGCTTTACTAGACTGGAGTGGGGGAAAACTGGTATAAAATTACTGAAGCCTGGCAGCCCATGCTATAGCCAGGGCTGTTACTTTCCCCCCAAGAGCAGCCATGTTTGGATTTCAACTCTCATAAATTCCAGCCACTTTACCGCCTTTTCGAAATTGTGGGTGTTGATGTCCAAAACTCCCGGAGGGCGAAGTTTGCCCATGCCTACTCAAGAGACTAATATATACTGTATATACTCAAGTATAAGTCTAATTTTTCAGCCTCTTTTTTCGGCTGAAAAAGCTACCCTCAGCTTATACTCGGGTGAGGGTCCTGGTGAGAAGGTGTGAGGCTGAAAGAAGGGCTTCTTTCAGCCCTACACCTTCCTGCCAGAACCCTCACCTCTCTGTACAGCAACCCAGCTCTCCTTCCTCTCCTTCTCTCTCACGCCGTGCACACCTTGCTCTCCTCCTCTCTTGGCACTAGTCTTTCCCACTTATCCTTATTAATATACACACATTATTTCCCCCAAAATGTATAGTTAAAATAAATTATGGTGATTATTGGAAGGATACATAAGCACATTTACATTGAAGAAGGTTAGGATAATGATTTAATCAGAGTGTGACAGTCTTATCTTAAATTACAGTTTCATGTAAATATTCAAAAACGTTTGACCCACAGATGCCTCAATGTAATTTTATTGGTATCTATTTTTATTTTGAAATTTACCAGTAGCTTCTGCATTTCCCACCCAATACGTTTTCCAGTTTTTTTTTTTTTTGTGGTAAAATTAGATGCCTCAGCTTATATTCGGGTCGGCTTATACTCGAGTATATACTGTATATAAAGAGAGTTCTCAGCTGAAAACAAAAGCAAACAGTGTGGTTTTCTAAGCAGACAGAAAATAAAAATGTATAACCACTCCAACCATAAGTTGTTTGAACAGTTAGACGCTCCAACCATGGTTTAGTCTCTCATCTATTTTGTGTATGGCTTTTTAAATTGAATCCTTGGCTTCAGAAGAAACATGAATGCAGCTGTGAAGGTGCTGTTCAGCAGATCTACAGTTTTTACCAGTAAAATTTATGATTCAAAAAGGCATCACACAGATGAGCTCATGCAGTTAACGCCTGCGTTAATAACTGTGTATGTGTGGAAGTTGGGGCTGCAGCCAATAGGCATGGTTTCAGTTGAATCATTTAGCTAACAATTCTGAGTTAACATCATGTTTAGGGTTAAGGTACAGACTAATAAACAACATATTTTGACCTGAATTGTTAGTCACATTTAGAATTGACTGGCTGAATCAAATGGAACAAAGTCCAAAATTATGCAAGCCTCATTTATTCAATGTATCTATATAACTCAGACTATATACCATAATTTTACATAACAAGAAGCATAGCAAAGGAAGCAAGATTTACTGCCCATCTGAGCAAATAATTTTCCTGAAAAACGGATTATTGATTTTACATAGTGCTTTTGTGACACTGAAAAAATGCAGAAACCACTGTGTCTCAGAAGAGATACTCTAATTTCTTTGGCAAGTACAAAAGCACACTGTTATTTTCAAACTGAAAAAAACAACACTTAAGATATTTAAACCATGTGTTATATTTAATGAAGACAATGTGATTACTCCTAATCCAATCTGGCAGTTAGAAAGAGCAAAGAATTAACAGGATCTACCAGTCTCATAATCTGATTGGCACAGTAGGTGGGAATTAGTTTGAACCAATGTCCTTTCAAGATTGGTAAAGTGTAACTGTTTTTATGAGCCTTTGAGATTCCTGATCAAAACACACTAAATGCCCCAGGTCTCATCTGATCTTGGAAGCTAAGCCGGGTCAGCTTTGGTTAGTATTTGGATGGGAGATTGTCAGTGAATACTAGGTGTTGGAGGCTATATTTCATAGGAAGGAACTAGCAAAAACATCTCTGAATATAACTTGCCCAAAAAAGGCCTATGAAATTCATGGGGTTGCTATAAATTGGCAGGCAATTTGAAGCCACATGCAAACATACACAGGACTCCCTGTTCAGATGCTTTTCGTATCATCGATTCCTGACAATTACATTGAAAGCTTTAAAGTCCTTTGGAAGTATTTATCTGCAATTATTTAATAGGCTAACAATATGGGTTGTGTGTGTGTGTCTTTAAAAAAAATAAACCAAAAAATGTAACATGACATTTGCAGAACATTTCAGAGAACAGGTTTTTTAAGTGGTTTTGCAAGTCAATCTATTGATCAAGCAGAACGTGAAGACATGTAGATTCTGAGGATGTAACACTTCAGTAGTGTGAAGAGATATTATTAACATTTAGATTATAGGTATAAATTCTTCCACAAAGGTGTACTGTATATACTTGTTTATGAATCAATCTCGTGTATAAGTTGGGAACAGGCTTTGAGCAAATCTATATGTTTATCCTATGTTACTGTCTGGTATCTGGGGAATTATATAATGCTTTGTACACTTATGGGATCTTATAACCCATTCTGAAAGTTGTAGTTTGTCAGTAATCAGGTTGGTTGTCCATTCCATTGATCTGGACTTTCTCTTGAACTCATCGTTGTTACTGACTGGAGATGACTTATCAGGAAGGACCCAAGGGTGGTTCACTCTCTGGTCTCCTGACATCATTGAAAAAGGCATTTGATATTTAACAGGTTATGGAGAGATATCCTCTAGTGGGACATATGCTCAGCTCTTTTATCCTTATTGTTATTAATTTTAAAATTATTTTACAAATTATTGATGTTTATTTATTTAATTATTTATTTACCCTATTTATACCCCGCCTTTCTCTACCCCAACTCAAGGCAGCTTACATATGGCAATTATTCAATGCCTTGCAACACATACAGACATTAAAAATTTAAAATCAGTTGAATTAAAATTAATACAAGTTAAGCATTTTAAAAAGTTTTATTATAAGGGAGAATTTAATAAGTTAAAAAAGCTATTTGACATTGGGTCCTATGGTGAAAAAAGTTGGCTAAAAATGAAATAAAATACAGTAAATCTGTTCCCTCTGCTGAACCAGTGCATTCCACCTGCAGCTAGCAAAGTTGTGACCATTATGTTTGTGTAGGAAACTTCTTTTCATCCTTGAAATTCACTTCGCTTTGTTATTAGGTCACATATGAAGAACATTGTCACACACATACACACACACACACACACACACACACACACACACACCCCAGATACACATGCACACACACTTTAAATCACTTGTGACCACTTTCCTACATAGTCAATATATAGAAAGTATTTAAAACAAGTAACTATGGCATCAATACCATGATAATATTTCAGCCATTCCATGCCCTCCCCCATACACAAAAGATTAACATGCTGCCAGAAAGTATTCAGAATTTCTCTTCCAAATTCTAGAATGCAGTGAGTTACACAGGAAACATTTATACTTAAGAGGAAGAACCAGAAGGCTTTCTTACATTGCAAATGCAAGCATAGATAGTTTCAGAACAAATACTTTGTCAGAGGAAAATTTGATGGAAATTCCTTAGACATTGGAGTTCAGTGCATTTTTAAATTTCTGGGCTGTCTGTTTCCAAAATGGTTTTTTTTATTCTACTGTTATTGTGATTTATGACAGAATTAATCATACCTTATATTGCAGGGAGAAGGAGAATCAGGAACAGCCTCTGTATTAATTAGAATGTGTGTCTATATGCAAAACTTACTTTGCTGTCTATACTCTGCAAGGGATATAAAGCCAGTTAAAGATACAATTTTGCATTGTTGTATATCAATAAAAAACTATAAAAGGCAAAAACATTTAGAAGCAGAAGTAAACATTTTTATACTTCTCTCTTTCAGACCCAGATTTTGTTGTTGGATTATTCAAGACCAAAGGCTAGGGAAAAGAAAACTTTCTACATAACAGTTTAGAAAAGTGACCAGTTGCATCAGCTTGAAGAATTTCTCCCGAAACGGTTTGTAACAGCAAAGTAACTTCCTTTGGACCTTCAGTGATCACTAGAACAATATTTCTGAAACAGCATGACTAATTGTAAAGGAAGATCTGTCAGCAAGAAAATAAATGAGAAAGCCTATCATGGAGAAGGATTTGTAAATTGGACAATAAATCTAAGTGCAATTCAGTCTGACAAGTTCTTGAACCTGCTGATGAGCATGGTTCCAATTGTTTACCACAAAAACCAGGAAGAGAGACATAAAAAAGTGAATGGTGTCTGGCAAGATGGATTACAGCCAACAGGACACAGTTTCAGCGTTAGGACTGATCAACACATGGATTATCATCACTTTTCAGAATCAAATTTTCATCATGGTAGTAATGGACATAATTCATCAAGCTGTAGTCCAAAGTATGATAACTTTGCAAGCTATAATTATTCAGATGGAATTGACTTATCAGAAACAGATGCTATGCTGCAGGACAACAGTGCATCTAGTGATGTTGATGAAGATACCATTGTGGAAGGGAACAGAAAACAGCCAAAAGAATCTATTAGCATTATGGCATTGCAGATACTAGTTCCATTTCTGCTCGCAGGATTTGGAACAGTATCAGCTGGGATGGTTCTGGATATAGTTCAGGTTGGTGTTTACCTATTATAATATTTCCTATACACATTCTGGTTCTTTCAATCTTCTGCTTTAAGTCTGAATGCATCCTTCTGTTTTATTTTTACATTTCTTTAGGAGTGTGCATAAAGCTATTTACCTTGCATACTTCCGTTTAAAAAAACACATTATTTTATTTGAGGAGCCTTTTTATCCCATTTCTTCTTTTCCATTTTTACATATAACTTCAGCTGCATGAAAGACTTCATTGATCCCAGATTTCCATTTTTGAAACTGCTTTATTCTCTTTAGTTCTTAAATGCTGAGCTCAAATATAACCTGCCCTTTGTAATGATGGATCAGGTAATCCATGAATAGCAAGAAAAGCCAAGGTAGTTCTGTATTATCAGTATTACTTGTGTTATCAAGCAACAGTAATTCAGTTATTGGGTGACATTAACAGTTTGGGGGCTTTGGCTGTACTCATTAAGTGAAACTAGCAAAAGAAACATTTTTTATTATTCAGTGATAATCTGTTATGACTGTCATACAGTGTTTCTGCATTGCTGGACTGAGATACCTTCTATTCTTGAATCTTCTATATATTTAAAATATTTTGTTTCATTTTAAAATATTTTATGTGTTTCTTTTTTAAAATAGCATTGGGAAGTGTTCAAAAATATAACTGAAGTTTTCATCTTGGTTCCCGCACTACTTGGTTTGAAAGGTAACCTGGAAATGACTTTGGCTTCCCGACTGTCAACAGCTGTAAGTATTAGCAACATTTTGAGGCTGGGGCATTTGATAGTATTCATTACCTACTATACTGAGTTTGAAGGAAATTATTCCACCTGTCTTTTAGGAGAATTATTTGTAGTAGCTGGAAACTGGCTTGAGTGCTAGACTACAACTCTGGAAAATGGGCTTCCAATCCATGCTAAACCATGGAAACCCACAGAGTGACCTTGGGCAAGTCACACTCTCTCAGCCTCAGAGGAAGGCAAAGACAAAACCTCTCTGAACTAATCATATCATAGGTTCAACTTGGCCAACAATCAGGGGTTCTGGGAGCTGAAGTTTAAAACATCTGGAGGCTCAAAGTTAGGGAACCACTTCTGTATAATGACTCACAGATCGCATGTAATTCTTTTTCATATCTTAGGCCATTGTGGAAATTGGCCACATGCTTCCATTTTCCCAGGACAGATGACATATAAATGTACAAATATAAATGTACAAATTTGATGATTTAAGCATAACACATTCACTGTCTGGGATCATTTATCAGCTCTCCTTACTAGTACCAAAACAAATGCATTATTTGTTTTTTAGGTAAATATTGGGAAAATGGATTCACCAATTGAGAAGTGGAATCTAATAATTGGCAATTTGGCCTTAAAACAGGTAAGGATTCAAAGAACACCAAAAACGCCACTGTAAATCAATACATTCTTAATACAGGAACATATGCACAAAACCTTTGTATTTGGGTGAAATTATTTTATAGTTTTTTAAAGTTTATGTAAAGGGGAATTGGAAATATAGTTAGGCTTGACAACGTCTCTGTGGAATTATGAAATATGCTGCAGAACAGTCTTGAAGATTTATCTTTTAGGGAATATTTTTCAGGTTCTTCTATTCTTAAAATGCAGACTTGGGACTGTTACAAAATGTTTTTATCTTCTTAGTCTCTAGCTGCTTGTTTTTATGGTTATTTGTTGTTAATGTTTTAAGAAGGCAGAAATTATAAGCAAGTAAACTCCATTTTAAGTAAGTAAAATGTATTGAAAAAGAATCTTATTGCGTGAGTTTTAATCTCCTTGGAAAATACGCAATTTGGACTGTTCTCTTCCCTAACACACCTTTTGGAATCTGTACATTGTTGCAGCCTATGCTTACATTAAATTTTATCACAATTATCAATAAACTCTTATTTGCCACTGCACACCCAATACCACCCAATACTGCCCCCTTTCCTAGTTTGGAATACGCATACACAGATTTCCCCGCCCCAAGATATAAATTTAAAAGGCTCCTCTCTTTTTTGTATTTTGGCCTATGTTGGAGAGAGTTTCTTATAGGTTCAGATAACACTTCTCAGTCTAAAACAGTAGATGGCTGATGAAAATTAGCAGCTAATAGTTTATCTGTTCTATCCTCATGTAGCAACTAGTAGTCCTAAATACAATACACAGCAGGGAAAGAGGCAGAGGGTTAATGAAATAAATTACTTTTCAAAACTGAAGGCTCTTTTACCTTTGTGTTTTACATTTCCAGGCGTGTATGGAAATAGAGAGAATGAGGGCATTAGCCCAGCATGGCAGCCTCATGGTGCCTTGACAGAAGGCATCATGAGGCTTGGAAAATAAGGTGAGGAAAATAAGGCGAGATGATTGAGGGTAGTAAGCAAAGTTTTGGTTTCTCTGACTAACCCCAATGAGGTGAAGGAGTGGTCATTTGGCAATGTGTTTTTACAGTTTAAAACCTTTCCAGTTTAAAGGATATCAAATTGAAGTGCCAACCCCTTCGCGATCCACACTCAGGTATGCCCACTGACAAGCCACCCAAATTAGCTTAAGAGTGCAATTGAACTTTTGTACAGGAAATCATAGCACAACAGAAGTGGGAAAGGAGATAATTAATGGGAAGTTTCAGTGTTAGTAAAAAGAATACTTTTCAAACGATCTGTCAAGGGAGAGGTGAAGAACAGCAAAGACATCATGCAGTAGATAACCACCAGAGGCACTATTACACTATTCCAGTTTATCTGCCTTGTACAATAAAGCGCTAAATCTTATCAAAGTCTTATCTAGGTTATATCAAAATGTTCCTTTTCCGGGAGCATTAAATTTGTTCCTGGAAAAGGATTGTGCTACTATTAATTTTGTCATCTGATGAGGAATCCATGGGAAAAAAGCAGAGTAAAACAATAATTCACTGATAAATGAATATCTTCCTCCTTCCTTATTCATTTCACCTACTTTCCTTACCTGTTCACACCCTTATTTTAATCCAGGGTTTGCTTTTTTTCATATTATAGCAATTTTGCACCTGTTCTTATAGCTCTTACCAGGTTAGTATTGTGGTGAAGGTCTTTAGATGTCTTCACCAAACACTGGAAAGTTTGCAAAACCAATAGAAGAGAAGTTCATTTAAGTTTTGCTTCTGCAAGGGGGACTAATATAACTTAATTCATATTTTCCTTAGCTGGAACGTATAGAGGAAATGGAGAAGTACTGTGGTATTTTTCCATTTCTGCATTTGTGTGGAAAATGAGTTTCACTTACTTTTCCATTTTGAATGAAGCAATCCTAAGAAGGTAAGTAGGTTGTGATTAGAAGTCCATTTCTGAAGAGCCACCTGAATACCTAGCTTTACATGGAAGATGTTAATAACCAGAAGGTAGTTTGAGGAGCCAACAGGAAAATAAGTATACCACAGTCAGAAGGGAAGGTTTTTACAATTTCTTTCAGTCCCAACATCATCACAGACATATTATGAGGACAAGGGAGAGAAATTCCTCAGTGTTTGCTTCCAAATTGTGGAACTCTCTTCAGCAGGAAATATGATTGTTGTTGTTATTATTGTCCCCCTCCCTGGTTTTCCTGTTGGATATTTTATTCAGGCAGGGTTTTAAATTTTAATTATGGAGCAGTAACGTGTGTCAATGTGTTTTTTTTAATTTGCTGTATTTTTAATCTTTTACAAGTAATTTGCTTTAAATTTATATTTAACTGTTTTGAACTTTAAACATGTTAAATATTTTTAAACTTTAGTAAACTAATATTTTAATTTGCTATACATACTTGTGTATAAGTTAGAAAATCTTTGACAAAAAATTGATACAAAAAACTTTGGTTATACATATTTTATTTATTTATTTGCTTTACTTCTATACCGCCTTTCTCAGCCGAAATGGCGACTCAAGGCAGTTTACATAGTAAAGGTTGTCACAACAGTATCAAAAAGACAATTAAAAACACATTATACAAAATATACCAAATTAAAACAATCATTATCATAAGGCTCAGCAAACAAATCAGAGTCCGTAATCATAATCCTTATACCAATTCCTATGTTCGGTTGTACCATCTTCATGTATTCATTGCACTATTTAGCCAAACGCTTGTTCGTAAAGCCAAGTCTTGACCTTCCTCCGGAATGCCAGGAGTGAAGGGGCCTGTCTGATGTCCACAGGTAGGGCATTCCACAGCCGAGGGGCCACCACCGAGAAGGCCCTGTCCCTCGTCCCCACCAACCGCACCTGCGATGCAGGCGGGACCGAGAGCAGGGCCTCCCCAGACGATCTTAATGTCCTAGTCGGTTCATAGGTGGAGATGCGTTCGGAGCGGTAAGTAGGGCCAGAACCGTTTAGGGCTTTATAGGCTAAAGCCAGCACCTTGAATTGTGCCTGGTAGCAGATTGGCAGCCAGTGGAGCTGGTGCAGCAGAGGAGTGGTGTGCTCCCTGAGTCATTGCAGCACCCCGTTTGTCATTGTGCCACTTCTTGGCTTTTGCAATGCCCGTTTGAAAAAAAAAAATGGCAGTAGCAATAGCACTTTGGTGCTTCCCCACCCGGGTTGTGTGAGCAGGGGAGGAGAGAGCTTACTAATGAGTAAGCAAGTAGAAGCCCAGCTTTCCCACTCTCCATGCCAAAGCTCATTCATTGCTGCTATTAAAGCCACCACCCTGTGCTCACAATCCTGTTTTGGCTCTTTTCTGGTGGTGGTGATAGTGCACTCCTTTCTTCCAGCTCCTGGGATACCAGTGATGCTGTAGGGCGGATCTGGAGCCAAAACCAGACTTCAAGCCTGCCATGGATATCCTATTGTCCAGCAGCCTGTTATGTCCAGCAGCCTGTTTTCCAGTAGTCCAGCAGCTGAGCATGCCAATGTTGCCAGAACTGGAGAAGGAGCTGGAACAGGAACATTAGTGATGGTCTTTACTAGCCAAAGGCAGGGAGTGACAAAACAGAGGAATTATTTTCCACTTGATTGCTCATGAGTAAACTAACTCTACCCCTCTCTGAGTGGCCCAGAAGGGAAGAATCACTGAGTCACAGCGTTGGAAAGGACCGCATGGGCCATCAAGTCCAAACCCCTGCCATTCAGGAAAAACACAATCAAAGTACCCCTGACAGATGGCCAATCAAGTCATTAATGGGGAAGCTAAGTTTGTCCTGAGAGAAAAACAGCAGCAAAGATGTGAATAAAGCAACAGATATAATAAATATCTAGCATCATACCAGACCTTTCTGAATTCTTGTGAGGTGGTGCCCAAGACTGGCTTATACATAATGTGCTGCTGCACTTTTCTCCCTCAATGGATTGGCCTCCTTGATTTATTCATGGTCACATCAAATTCCATAATTTTGGCACCAAAAACTTGGTTTATACGTGAAGTTCACTTATAGACAAATATTTACAGTGATTTTTTAAAAGTTATTGTAAGCTGCCCTAAATCCTGTCTTAGGATAAAGGCGGAATATAAATTTAATAAATAGGAACCATTTGATTTCAACTTGAAAGTATTCTATTTTATGTGCTGTAATAGTAAAAATAACAATGAAGCAATTAGCTATGAACATTTCAACACACAGAGCTCACTGAAAAAACTGGAGCTTAGATTAAACAAATTCCTTGCCTGTGAATGTGAAGGAAAGGGCACTGAGTGTTCTACCATAACCTTGATAATTTCTTATATTTCCCACCCACTAATATACATTTGGTACATCAGAGTATTTGTACAGAAGCAAATCTTTTTGATGTTTATTTTTTTTTATATTTATAGGTACAAGCAACAGTCGTTGGGTTTTTGGCAGCTGTGGCAGCGGTTATATTAGGCTGGATTCCTGAGGGCAAATACCACCTTGATCACTCAGTCCTTTTGTGTTCTAGCAGTGTAGCAACAGCCTTCATAGCATCCCTTTTACAGGGTAAAAATTACATTATCAATCTTCCTCAAATGCAAAGTCCATTAATATTTTGAAACAAATATTTTGAAACTTAAATACAGCATGGTTTCAAGATCCACATTCAAGTTTTATACTATACATGTTCTGGGTGGCAGAGGTATATACAAAAATATGAAGGTATTTTCCAACTAGATTTTGATATTACATGAAATAAAAAATCCCTTTTCAAAACAGTTATAATGGCATAAGCTTTTGTCTTGCTATTTGTGTTTCATGTTCTGCATACTGTATCAGACTTTACATTAAAATATTTTCATGCAATGGCATGAAAAATAACAGATCTTAGAAGACTTAGAAGGAATGTGCCATTCATTTTGATTTAAATAATTACTAATTAGTTTATTGCATGAAAGAGACATAAAGGCTGTTATTTTTTAAATGTTTGAAAAATCACATGATTCATAAGCTGTATGATTAATATGATTAATATGATTTCACTTGTAAATAAAAATTCAAATAATATCAGCATAATACTGAAATAACCCAGGTAGCTTTGCACAAATGGAATTCTGAATTACAGGATATAGAACACAATCTAAATCAAATTGTACACTGGTAGCACTTTTTTCTTGCAACAACCTTCCTCCCAATCCAAAACCATGTTCCAGGGGTTTTACAGCTTCCCAGAGCTCATTTTTAGGGGCTATGCACAGAAGGCTGCAGTAAAGCTAAAGGCATGCCCATACCCTTCCCTCCACTCCTCGCCCCTCCACTCCCCTCATGGTTTGGTTCCTCTGAAATCAACTTTCCTGCCAGATTAAATCTGTTTAAAATGTTTTAAATTGGGTTGTTGTGAGTTTTTCAGGCTGTATGACCATGTTCTGGTAGCATTCTCTCCTGACGTTTCACCTGCATCTATGGCAGGCATCCTCAGAGGTTTGTTCAGAGGTCTATTGGAAATGAGGTAAGTGGGATGTTTATATTTTTGTGGATATATATACACCCCACTCTCTTCATTTCCAACAGACCTCTGAACAAACCTCTGAAGATGCCTGCTTAGGTGCAGGTGAAACATCAGGAGAATGCCACTGGCACATGACCATACAGCCTGAAAAACTCACAGCAACCTAGTGATTCCAGCCATGAAAGCCTTTGATACATGTTTTAAATTATTTTTGGATCTGTTCAAAATTATCTTGCTGCTTCCACAATCCACAACTTGCTGATCAGAGACTTAACATCTTGACATTTGTATAAGCCATGGATTAAGTTTAATTCAACAATAATAAATGGAAGTATAGTTAAACTGGATCTATATGTAATAATATTTGTGTAATAAGTAATTCAAACTTTGCTAAGAGGGTTTTCTGGGTTTTATTGCATTTAGTTTAAACTTCTTTTAAACTGAAGTTATCTTGAGGGATTGCTTTGCATTAACTGCTTTAATCAGCACAGTTGTTTTTAATGAGGAAGATGCAAATTAACTGAAAGCAAAGCCCTGAGAGGATGGGCAAGGGGGAGACTATGTGAGTTTTTCTAAAGCTGCAGCATGAAATTGACATTTCCTTTCTGATCATGACTATAGGAATAATAATGGTTGGAGTTATTGTCGGGTCTAAGAAGACAGGCATAAATCCTGACAATGTTGCAACACCTATTGCAGCAAGTTTTGGAGACCTTATCACTCTTGCCATACTTGCTTGGATAAGTCAGGGTCTTTATGATTGCCTTGGTGAGTATTCTTTCTTTCACAGGTTTTGTGGTGAATTATTTGTTGAGTTTGCAATCAGATTTGTCTCGAATTCATAGAAAAATACAAAGCAACATGGAATATTTATTTTTCTAAGAAAAACAATTCAGTTGTTGTTGTTGTTGTTCATTCGTTCAGTCGTCTCCGACTCTTCGTGACCTCAGGGACCAGTCCACGCCAGAGCTCCCTGTCGGCCGTCACCACCCCCAGCTCCTCAAGGTCAGTCCAGTCACTTCAAGGATGCCATCCATCCATCTTGCCCTTGGTCGGCCCCTCTTCCTTTTGCCTTCCACTTTCCCCAGCATAATTGTCTTCTCTAGGCTTTCCTGTCTCCTCATGATGTGGCCAAAGTACTTCAACTTTGTCTCTAGTATCTTCCCTCCAGTGAGCAGTCGGGCTTTATTTCCTGGAGGATCGACTGGTTGGATCTTCTCGCAGTCCAAGGCACTCTCAGAACTTTCCTCCAACACCACAGCTCAAAAGCATCTATCTTCCTTCGCTCAGCCTTCCCTAAGGTCCAGCTCTCACATCCATAGGTTACTACAGGGAATACCATGGCTTTGACTATGTGGATCTTTGTTGTCAGTGTGATGTCTCTACTCTTTACTATATTATCGAGATTGAACATTGCTCTCCTCCCAAGAAGTAAGCGTCTTCTGATTTCCTGGCTACAGTCTGCATCTGCAGTAATCATTGGTACCTGAACCTAACATTCCTAACTTGCTTTGAAAGCTAAACTCTCAGGAACTGTGTTACGATGGTCTAAAAATTCTCTGTATGTTGGCCATATTTCTTATTTGCAACATCTGGTTCCTTGGGAATAATTTGTCTTTGCAAAGAGTTGTTTGGTTTCCAGTATTCTCCCGTGTGATTAAGATTACTTGTTGAATGACAAGTTTCCTTTTTGATCAGCAAATGTCAGAATCTTTAAAGATTGTGAGTTGATGGCAACTAGTGTTTTGTGACTATTCATGTAAATGATGTGCTTGCTTTCTTTTTATGATTTTGTTTTTAATTCCAGTATCTGTTCATTTGGTTTCTATAATGAGTTTTATTCAATATGTCTTGGACCACCATATATCAAATTATATTTTGGCATATAGCCTATTACAAAGGCTGGTCTCTATGCCATATTTACATTCTGTTTTCTTTAAAGGGTTTCTTAAAATGTTATATTGATACACATTTATTCAGAGTATAAGCTGTAATATAATTTATTTATTTGACCAGTCATATGATCATTTCAAAATACAATATGAGTAAAAGACAAGGCAAAAAGGTGAGGACAGTAGCTGACCTTCTATTTACAGAGTCTTATTTTCCTGGTTCTTTTTTCAGGAAATGTGCTCTTTTCTTGAGGGATTTCAGAATAAAAAGGCTTACTCAGATTATGGTGGATCTTTCCTGTTTTTGCAAGAGGAATGTCAGAAGATCATTTCTGTTGTGGGATCTGCAGTTGGATAATATCGGATGTAAATTATATTGTCAGAGTATGACAATATGGGATAGCTCATTTTTTAATCTGGTGTAGCTGTTTGTGCTAAGACATTACTGCAAATCAGCAAAGGGCAAAATAGCAGGAAAACAATTCTACACACCAGGTTTTACATTATTTTTAATGGCTGCATCTATTATTTTCTCTAATGCATAGGTATTCTCATGAGGAACAGGAATAAGAAAGCAATCATACAGAAGAATTTGACACCTGTTAGTAGCTAGATAAGAAACCTGTTCTAGCTACCTTGTTCCTCCTTCAGTCCCTTCCTTGCCTCTCCCCTATTGTATACTTTCACCCATTTTCCCTGCAGTTTAACCCAGTGTTCAGTACAGAGGACATTTTGGAGTTAGATATACAAATTATACATTAAAATAGGCACAATTTGTTAAATATAAGTTGGCCTTATTTTACAGAAACCTACCCTTCTACCTCTAAAAGTCCTGTCCTAATGTGTTGAGATATAGGAAAAAAAGTAAGGTAGATGTGGTAGATTAAGAAAAGCAGCTACTGCAAAGCAAATAAGTTGTAAAAATGTATAAATGAATGCTCAAAGTGCAAAGTATTTGTTGAGCTGCATTGTTTCCCTATAGGATACTAGGTCCAATATTGTACTTTTTTATGCCAGTTAAGACTTTATTTAAACTTGAGTTATAAAACAAACACCTTCAAATTAATGAACAGATTTAGAAGCCTTACAAGCAAGCAGGTAACAACTAGGCAAATAGTTGGGAAGCTGGGAGGCACTTCCATGTGCATAGAAGCCTAAATTGCTTTAGAATGACACTGTGGACAGAAGCTCAATATATATCCCACCCCATGAGAGCATTCTCGGGGCAACTAATAGTAGTAAGCAATCAAATTTAATATTTGTAAAAAAAAATATGATAAAATTATAAGGAGACCTAAAAATTCAGGTGGATTCCTATCAGCTCTCGGGGAGTTTTCTGTTGTCTTGGCAGGTGAACCCATTAAAGCCCTGACTGATCGCTGTAAAGCAGTGGCCCCCAACTTTTGGTCCTCCATGTGTTTTGGACTTCAGCTCCCACAATTCCTAATAGTTGGTAAGATTGGGATTTCTGGAAGTTGGAAGTCAAAAACAACTGGAGGACCAAAGGTTGGGAACCACTGTTTAAAAGTGTGGTGGACAAAATTGCCCCTAATTATCTCCTCCCATGGACATCAAAGACAGAAAACTCAGAGCAAATCTGACTGATCACAGGTTATGGTCCATTGGAACGCCTATGCTACGACTGTGGTGGCAGAAAATAAATAATTCTTTCCTGCTTGCATTTGTACTGTGTTAGCCCAGTAGAGTTTCCTTGAGTGGTCAGGACCTTCTACACAGTGTAGATCACTCAAAAGCCCACTGTGAAGAATTTGCTCATTCCTTTATGGTTTAAATAGTTCTGCTCCTTTTTGGATGCTGTGGTTCATTCATATAGGTTCAGTGGATGTAATCTTGATTCTGGCTTGACTTATCTTATTGGATACATTTTGGTTTCTGTATCCTGTAGAGTTTTATGCTATTTAGAAAAGGTGAAACCTGACTTGAAATAGCCCTCCTGAATAACTACCAACTAGTCTTCAACATACCTTTTTGGCCACTGTTCTGGATCATAAGGTAACCTCCTGGAGTTCCTGCACAAAATGGATTATTTAGATCCATTCCAGTCTGGCTTCAAGCCTGACTGCCTTTGGAAACTGCTCATAAACTTCAGCATGGTCAGTTACAGGAAACACATGCCTCCCTTGTTGAAACAGCCTCACCATTTCCAGGCAGAATTTAAAGCCCTGTTTCTGGTCTTTAAAGCCTTATATGGCATGGGTCCAGATTATATCAAGACATCTCCCTATTTAATCCTGCCCACATTTCAAGATCGTTGGGGAAGGCTTTCTGTTGCTGCCATTACCATCTATGTTTGGTGAGGCCACATCAGAGAGCCTTCACAGCAGAATTCCCTTCTATGAGAGGGTGGTTGGTGCACCTGTTTCCTTTTTGGCACCAGGCAAACACCTTTTGATTTAATCAGGTCTTTGACCCGTAATTCATACGCGCACACACAAATAGGGCATTCCATAACTTAAGAACCACCACTGAAAAACCCTCCCACATAGCCACATTATTTAGTGAAACCACTCTGATGGAACCCCAGATATGATGCTTTTCTAGACGTCTCCCGCTGTGGTGTGAAGTCCAGCAAAATCAGTCCAGCTACTATTCTAGTTCAGAAAGTATAGAAACAGAGTCTTCAATCAAGTTAGTTGACCACATTCATGTATTTTTATGGCTAGCATTTGGAAGACAAACAGTAAGAATGTAAATGTTCCTGCATGAAAAGTGATCTTAAAAAAAGTTATTCTGTGTTCACGTTAAACATTATTTTCAGTAATAAAGTACACACTTTGGACACTAGAGGGCTCTGCTGGGCTGTCATTTGAGTAACTTTGGAAACAAGTACTGTATATTCAAAGACTGCCAAATTTTTAGTATTATGGAAGGAACAAGTCAAATGAGTTTGAAGAATGAATATGAACACATGAATGACAGAAATTGGAACAGGAAAATCTGAAGTGTATACCACTCAAGTAAATTTCATTGGTTTTATTTGGAAATAATACTCTGATTAGTCCATCTGAAAAATAATATCTTCAATTAACACATAAACCTCTGAATTATGTTAGCAAATTATATTGACTGTCTATATCAAAATGTAGTTTATTTATATTGTTATATTTTGATTCAGGCTCACTGACTGTAAACACTTCACAATTCTTGTCTTCCTTTCTACCCAATCTGAGACATTTTATCAAGATCTTATCAGCCTATGAGTTTTGTACATCTATTAACTGGCTGTATGGAATTATTTGGAATTACAGTTATTTTAAAATTAGATTTTAAGGAATACAACAACAACAAACTTTATTTATATCCCGCCCAATCTCCCCATGGGGGCTCAGGGCAACATAAAAAGACCAACATTCAATGCTGCACAAAGAAGCTGGAATAGAAGCTGTCCTGTGCTATGTGATAAAAATATAAGGGTACTTTTGTGTGATTTCAAGGATCGGTGTGTGAAAATGTCCAGGCTTCTGACAGGTTGGCTGAAGGAAATGTATAACTCACTTGTTGAAACAGCCTCACTGGCTACTGTTCTGTTTTCAGGCAGAGTTCAAAATACTGAATATGACCCTTAAAACTATATATGGCTTGGACTCAGAGTGCTCATTCTTTACTTCCTGCAGTCTATAATATTCTTTGAATGTAATGTGCACTTACATGTATTGCTAATTTAGTATGCAAACATATGCCTTAGTTTACTGATATGGTATGTAGGGAGAGAGGAGGTGAAGGAGGAAGGGGGAGATTTGGGAAAAAAGGAACAAAAGCGAAGTGTATGTCTTTATTGCAAGCAATACAAACAGTAAACTTTATCTCATGCAGACATGCCAACCCTCTGCTACAAGTTGTATTTTTTTCTCCTTCTAAAGAATTAGCAGAAAATTTGAATGTTGAGATGGGTGATCAGAAAAATAGTATTAAGGTTTTTCTGTGCATAGATTAGCATTGGGCTCCTATACTTGTGGGGCCCCTGGGCAACTGCCCAGCGTGCCCATGCGTTAAGACAGCATTGCTTCCTTTCCTTCCACAATCATGTTGAGATTGCAAAACTACTTTGCTTCAATGCTCACCCTTTTCACCTTATGCTGGAAATAGAAGACATTGCCATAGGCATCCCTGCAGGCTTTTCTGTCAATGCATTCATTCAGATTCCCTATGGGCCAGCATGTGTTTTTCTCCCCTGTATCGTATCCCATTGCTACTACTTTATTCTACAAAGAAAACTTGTTTAATTATGAACAGACCCATTTGAGTACCATAATGCACTAGGGCATTGTTACAGCATATTAATTAAACAGTTACATAAATAGACCTCATTGTGGATCAAAGGACACATGTTGATGAAAAGAAGTAAACTGAACCATCACAATTTGTGAGTTCTCTTTATTCCATAGTTATATAAAAAGGAAAAATGGAAAGTGGAAAGATTCACAGCAAAGTACATATTTCTCTTAAGACTTCTAAAAATAGAGAAACAATTCTGTAATATTTTCTTTTCACTGAAACAATTAGTTTAGCTGTCTTAGCGAACAGATGACAATGGATTCATGCAAAGTAATCAGATAATCCATAAAATAATCCATTGATCTCCTTTATACTGAAACGTTTTCAGAATTATCCTTGTTATTACTAGAACTAATCCAATTTTAGCATTGCTGGAACTAACAGAGATGCAAGAACAATGGTGTCAATAAAATAGTCAAATATGGAATGAGAAGTCTAGGAGACAATATCATTTCATTTTTTTATTGTATGTCTCCTAGAGATGTTCAGATAAAAAACAGAATATACATATTTTGATAAAATCCATCTTTCATTTCTTGAATTTTAAAAAATTATAGATAATTTCAAAAACACTATAGTCACAGGTCAGTTGATAGAATTCTGCAAGGCAATAATAAATACAATGATATTTATTTACTAATGTGTTATGTTGAAGTAATGCTGTCTTCATCTATTAGAAAGGAACAATAATTCTCATTAAACTCATTAAGCAGCAGGAATGCAATCATTGAATAAAATAATATTGTTGAGATGAAAATATTCTTAACTTTATTTTTTGGATATTACATCTTGGAACTGGTGAAAGACAGTGAGAATTGTTTCAAAGAAATTAGTTTAGAATGAAAAGTTGATCAAGAAAAATGTGGAGTAAAACCAAGAAATTTTGAAAATCAATTGGTAAATTATTTGCCTAAATGTAATATTTATAGAATGCTATACAAATTCAATAATAAATAACAGAACATTGTTACTTTTTTTTTTGCAGAGAAATATTATTATATCTCTCCTTTAGTTGGTGCCTTTTTCTTGGCTCTGACTCCTATGTGGATTGTAATTGCTGCTAAACATCCAGCTACAAGAACTGTTCTCCATTCAGGCTGGGAACCTGTTATAACTGCTATGGTTATAAGCAGGTAAGTAATTACATCAGAGCTCCATAGAGAAAAGGTAGTTTAAAAAAAGGAACACCGCACAACTGTATGTGTGCCATAGATACCATTACAGTTGGTAAATTGATTCAGACACTTTCTAAGAATATGCGTGCATTTATCTATGTAGAATGAAACATATATGCAATCCCCCAACACCATGCACTGTTTGAACAAAGTGTATTTTCTTATTTATACTGATATTATCTTTGTTTATTAAAAATATTTCAAAACTACCCTTCATCCAAATGGATTTTACGATAATGTACAAAGACCTCACAATCTCTGAGGATGCTTGCCATTGATGCAGGCGAAATGTCAGGAGATCATATAGCCCGAAAAACCTACAACATCCCAATGTACAAAGACATTAAACTGGCCATTTGATATTTTGATAATATAAATACACTTAAACATTACTAATAATTAAAGCAAAGAAGGAGATGAAACTGTAAAAAAACAAAGCATGAAGAAGGAAGGCTATTGATTAAAATGGGTTAGGATTTTAAAAAATCCTTAACCTGGTGCTGTAAAGATTGTAATGCCAAGTTCCAGATGTAATTCTTTGGGGAGGGTGTTCAGAAATCGTGACAGGAAGGCATATAACATAAATGGGCCTCTGTAGAAAATCCCAAGACATAGGAAGGCTGTTTTCAGAAAATGTGCTGAGATAGATAGATAGATAGATAGATAGATAGATAGATAGATAGATGATATTCCAAGCTGCTTAGACCTTGTCCATTGAAATACATTAAATGGGCTTAAATTTGGGGGCCTCTGTGTTTATTCGTTGTATATTGACTAACTTCCTCCACTGTAATTGGACAGTGAACCTGACTTTGCTGATGTGGAAAAATGTAACAGTTATGATTATTATGTGAGTGTGCTTGTTCAAGTCATACACCCTGATTTTAATGCTAAGAATATTTCCTGTTTTTGTTAAATTCAAAGTAGAGTAAAGAAAACTTTCTCAGGAACTTTCTTCCTTTTCATAGATTCTGAATACTTTCCCATTTTTTCTGACTGTATTTGAAAACTTGGATTCTTTTTCAGTATTGGTGGCCTTATTCTGGACACAACAGTATCGGATCCTAATTTAGTTGGGATTGTTGTTTACACTCCGGTAATAAATGGTAAGGCAAGCTTAGAATTTCTCAAAACTGCTGTAGTTCAATATATGCTGGTTAGATACAATATTATTCCAGACAAAACTAAAACAAAAGTGGATGGGTATCTATGATTGTAGTGCCACACTATAATATTAGAGTATAAACAGTTCATGGGTTTGTGTTGTGACTGAGGGAAAAGATAAACATACCTTCAGGGCATGAACACAAATGAAGAAAACATATTTTTAGAGCTGTCATGGTTGTACTTCAGATCCTTGAAATAGATTTTAAAATGTTCTTTTTGAAATATGTACTTATATCTATTTAAATATGTATGTAGGCAGAAATGGGGTACAATACAGTGTCTCAGTTTCTTACCATAGTCCAATTGTACAATAGTATAGTGTAGTGTAGTGAATTATTTGGATGAGATCATATTCGATTTCTAGTTACATTCCATGGACATTTTATTAGCTGACAGCATTGGAGGACACAGCGGTGTATTTGCTGCAGATTTGCAAATATATGTGATGGGTGAATAAAACTATTGATTTTTCTGCAGATATACCTACATACCCTTGAATGCATTCATTTGAATGTCATATGGCTTACAATACTAGAAACTTTTACAAATATTTAATCCTGAAAGGATTGCTTCTGAATGAATTCCGTAAACCTACTAGCACTTATGTTGCATTGGTGCATCAATGTTATAATATCAGACATACAATTTGTCAAGTCAACATTTGTTAATCATTGGTTTCCAACTTGATGTAGAGTTGTTGTTGATTGCATTCAACCCATTTCTGACTTATGGCAGCTCATAAGGCAACCTATCATGGAGTTTTCTTGATAAGATAAATTCACAGTTAGTTTGTCTTTGCCTTCCCCTGAAGCTGAGTGTCTGTGACTTTCTCAAGCCAGCCAGTGGGTTTCCATGGAGATTCAAACCCTGAACTCCAGATTCGCGGTCCAGTGCTCAAACCACTACACCACACTGGCTTTCAGGTATAGAATACCATCAGTGCAATATATCTCACCCTATCTGTGTCACTTATTGCAACAGCTTCCCAAAATTAAAGGGCCAAACTACAAACTACATTAAATAGAGTTTGTCTCAATATCACCTTTTAAAATACAAAACTCTAGAGTTGAAAGTAAAAAGTACAGTAAACACACATGTTCCCAATATAATTCAGGAGCACTGTTAAGGATTTCACTCTCACTGTTTTTAAACTCATCTGTAAAGATGGGCGGAAGAGAAGATGGAGAGGTGGCATACATTGCATGTGAGGGGATGTCATGTAGAAGATAGTGTGATATTGTTTTATGATGATCCAGTGACTAAAACAGCATCCAGTGAATTATAATTCTAATAAAAGATATTCTGTCCAAACATTTGGAGAAACTTCTTGACTCCAAGATCTTTCTAATAGAAGAAAAGACTGCCTTGGTGGGATTGACTCTCCGTATAGGACGTTTTTAAACAGAGGTTGGATGGGCATCTTTCAGGAGCACTTTAGTTGTGTATTTCTACATAACAAGGTTGGACTAAATTGTTCTTCCAGCCCTTCCAACTTTTAAGATTATATAAGTATATTTGTAAATTTTAAAAAAACAGATGGGGGAAGTTTTTGCATTTCTCTTTCTCCATTCCACATTTTGGTCCTGATCTGGATGGAAACAACATATGTTTTCTTTAAAATAATAAAAAAAATCACTGCACATTGCATCTTTAATTTATAGTCTGACTTTATATTAGGAATATCAATAATTGGTTCTTTCATTCTAGTGGATAAAAATGGCAATCCACAAATCTATGAAAATGGCATAACATTTAATGTTGGTCTTAACAGAGTTTTTTTTTTACTTTTGCAAGGAAAACTTGTACAAACAGCATATATGATAACTGCTGCCTTGTCTGCTGTGCTTCACAAAGAGAAATATGTTAGTTTTGTGCAGACAGTTGGCACAAAACTAACAAGACTTGATGAACACAAAACCTTTCTGTTTCGCTTATTCTGGATGCCGGAACTTGTGTGCAGGTTAATGAATTCTTTCAGCATATTGGACCCTTTCTTGCTACCTAATTATATTACTGTAATTCTTCTGCATCCTTTGCAATCCTGGGATTTGTAGTTTATGGGAAATCATTTAAAATTCCCAGACAGGAAAATCCATCATTTTCCCAAATAGCAAGCCCCAGAGTGATAGAAGATGCAGACATGCCATGCCAGTTAAAAAATAAATTATATCTCTATAATTGTAGGAAAGACCCAATTGTCAAGAGTAGTTTAGCAGTAGTTGTTCCTATTGCTAGCCTAAGGAGGGGTGCTTGTATTGTCCTGTTAGTATACAGGATTATCCTATGCTATTAGCATAACAAAGCACATCATTTCTTGAGTAGGTTTTTTGCAGTCAAGACACCTTGTGTCAAATATTTCTCTTCATAATATCTAGTATAACTGATTTTGTGTCTTGACATTATTATGCTGTGCTTTGTCCCACCACTCCATGAAAATGGCTGGGAAAGTATAGAGAAACATTTCATTTAATAATGTCAATTCATGGGTTAGGATTTGAGATATTTTGGAAGGGAACACACAAGTTGTCAACAAAAAGGTTGACATTTTGAGCAGAAACTCTGGTTTTCTTGTGGTTAGTCCTGGCCCATTTTACTAACAGTTTTATTATACCAGCTTGTCAGTCATGCCCTGATCCAGTCAAGCATAGTTTAGGAGTTATTTCTAATCTACTGCTTCTTCACTTCCCCCTTTTGATGTTTTCAATTGTTTTGTGCTACATATTTGACCCACATACTGTTTCCTATGATCAGCGCCCACAAAAGCAGAAACATTTAAAATTCTGATTTCTAAACTTACTAGATCTTTAAAAGGACCCTTCATTTTATTTTGAAATATGGAATTCATAACCTTTTTGGGAAAAAAACACCTTTTGGAGATCATAACTTTTTAGAAATGAGTGATCTTTCAGAGAAGAGCCAAAAATGCTTTATGTATTATTATTTGAAGCATTTATATTCCACCCTTCTAACCCCGCAGGGCACTCAGGGTGGAGCACAACATATAAACGGTAAAAATTAATGCCAGGACACAAAACTATAAAGATTCACAAACATTAAAATCACTTATATCTACTTTATAATCAGCTGTTTAAAACTATCTCAGGACACCATGCTGGCTCCAGTCAGTGGAGTAGGTTTCCTATTACTGCCTCATTGCACTGCCTCAAAGGCTTGGTCCCACAGCCAGGTCTTCACCATCCTTCTGAAGAACAGAAGGGAGGGAGCTTATCTAATATTGCCAGGAAGGGAGTTCCATAGCTGGGCAGCAATCACTGAGAAGGCCCTCTCTCTCATTCCCGCCAAACGTGCCTGTGATGATGGCGGAACTGAGGGAAGGGCCTCCCCAGAAGATCTTAGTCTTTGCGGTAGTTTGTAGAGTAGAATCTTCCCTTGTGGTATACAACCTGAAAAAATTATGTTTGACTGAATAACCTGTTATCTCAGATCTGTTAGAAAAACAGAGATTTTCCAGTGCATAAAAACAGGACAGCTTTAGAAGTATTGTTGAAGGCTTTCATGGCTAGAATCACTAGGTTCTTGTGGGATTTTTCGGGCTATAGGGCCATGTTCTAGAGTCATTTCTCCTTACGTTTCGCCTGCATCTATGGCAAGCATCCTCAGAGGACCTCACTACCTCTGAGGATGCTTGCCATAGATGCAGGCGAAACATCAGGAGAAATGCCTCTAGAACATGGCCCTATAGCCCGAAAAAACCCACAAGAACCTAGCTTTAGAAGTGTTTTTGGGTGCCCTAACTATATCTACTCTTCCATAAAACAACTTGTTTATAACCATGCAATCAAGAGACAAATGACAAAATAACATATTTGGTTTACTCCAACCTTTGTGGTGTTCAGCATACAAAGGTGCAAAACTTATCATTCCAATTTCAAATATGTTTGAGGTGGTTCCTTGTGCCAGCTGGCCAGGGCATCTCTTTTGTAACAAAACAGCTATCAACAGGTCACATAGTCAAAAGGAGAGCAAGAGAAGAGCATGAGGTGTGCAGCCTCTTTTGTAACTTCTCAGGAATCCTAGAATAAAAGAAGCTGCGTACCAGAACATACATACAGGGAACAGTAAGCAGCAGGATCATAGATAAACATTACTAGAGAAGACTTGAAGAAGGTTGTCATTTCCAACATTTTATTGCTGCCCTTATTTTGAGTACTTAGGGGCTGTGTTTCTAAGCTGTTGTCTTCGATAGTAAATGTAGCACATTTAAATAAAGTTGTTCCTTGATTATGTACACAGCTCAGGAACTGTGGTTTTAAGAGAAATGCCAGAAAGCTCAAGTCTCCCACACAAAATTCACACATTTGGCAACACTGACTTTTTCTACTGTAGTCTTTTAAAAGAGGTGCTCTCTTTCTCAGACAGAAATAAAGGTCTACAGTGTTGGAGTTCAGAATGGTATGGCCTACTTTAGATCCTTTGGCATGACAACATTATATTTTATGGTAGTGAACAAAATCAAAATGATTGTTATTTGCTTTTTTTGTCAAAAGTAAGATCTAGCTCATAAATGTCTTTTTCACACCACATAAAAACAACATTTTGATAAAACTTTAACTGCAGTAGCTTCACTATATGGAATCCTGGAATCTATAGTTTTATGAAGTATTTACAATTCTCCTCCAGGCTAACCCAACTAACAAATCCCAGAAGTCCACAGGATGCAACAGAGCCAGTTAAAGCAGTGGCAGATTGCTCTAATTATGCAGTGTGGAATGAACCAAGATTAATGTCACAGAATGTGATTCTTCAGTACTGTACCAGCTATATTAATTTTGAGTAAACTTGAAAAGAATCATCACCAAACTTTTCTAGTTGGTGACACACTTTTTAGATATGCATCCTTTAGCAACACAATTCAGTTTTACTGGCAAACCAACCCCTTATAAAAGTTTCATACTATATAATATATACATTAAATCATGTATAATATAATATATATAAGTTTCATATAATGTATAATATATATATTTCATTTACTGTATAAAAAAGGTCTGGATTTTTTCCCTTTACACTTACATACTACAGTTGATTCTTGTTTCATTTCCTCTGTAGCCACTCCATGTAGTTCATCACAAACATCACTGTCAACAAATTTTCTTTTCCTAATTAGAAACTTCTCAATTTTAGTGAAAATTAGTGCAAACCAATCACTAAATTGTGCATATTATAAAAATTATAATAGTACCTAAACTTGAACAGCACCAGCCTTTGTGGGCAGGGGCAGGGGAGCATTTTTCATGCAACACACTAATGTGTTGCAACACACAGTTTGGAAAGCTCTGCTCTAGGCCTTATGAAGCTTCCTACCTCCCGCAAGCTTGGCTATTAGTCAGAGACAATGGAAGTAGTCATTCAACAAACATCAGGGAGAGCATGTCCTCCAGCCAAGGTAAAGAAACTAAAACTCAGCACAATAATTTCTACTCAGAAATAAGCCCCATTAACTAGTGGGGCTTACTGTAAAGTAAGTGTGCACAGAATTTCAAATTAAACTATAAGCCTTTATACAGTGTTTGTGGTACACCTCAATAGAAATAAATATGGAGTGGCAAGGATCTGTAATTTAATACATGTAAACGTTGTCAATTTAATTTCTGCATTTCCACATTCCCTGCTTGAAATGGTAGAAATCCATTTCTGACTTGGTGTAAGACACTTTTCTTATTGATAAGAACCAATCTATGTTTTCTTATCCTTTGCTTTTGGCTTTGAGGTCAAAGCCTTTAAGGCCTAAATTCCAGTTCAAGCCTTTAAGGCCTAAATTCCATGTAATGGTAGCAGAGAGTCCCAATTGTTTTTCCACTTGTGTACTTGATATGTTGCATATTAAGCGCAACTTACAAAAAGACCCCAATAATAATAGTAAAAAAAAAGCCCTAGTCAATAATTGCTACATTTTAAAACATTTGAGTGTTTAGAGACAGCAATACTACAAAGAAAGAAATAAACATTAAGACCCGAGTGCCTGCCAGAAGAGGAAAGGCTTAGCTTGAAGTTCCTAATAAACTGAAGATGAAAACCAGTGCAATATAGTTTTTTGAGCGCTGGACTAGAGCTCTGGAATACCAGGATTTGAATCCCCTACTCAGATGTGGAAACCTGTTGGTTGGCCTTGGGCAAGTCACACTCTCTTGGCCCCAAAAGAGGACAATGGCAACACCCCCCCCCCCCCAAATCTTGCTGAGAAAATGTCTATGTTACTAAGGTCACTTGGGCCTCAGGATACAAAGCTGTATCAATGAGAATTTCCAGCTATAAACTTGCTTCTTGCAATGGAAGTCCGTATAGGAGAAGATTAGCACCAGTTTGCTGGGCAAATTAATCACAAATAGCCTCTCCATCTTATCAGGATTCAGTCTCAATTTCTTGAGCTTCATCCAGTACCAATACAATACACCAATTAAGGATAGCCAGGGTCTGTGTATGTATATAATCTCTATTTGTGTGGGTGTACACATTATATTTGTGTAACATGATGAGCATCTAATCATTTCACAGTGGAAGAGTTTAAAGATGTAATTCAGTTTTTTAAAATGTGCACACATAATTTGGTTCATTGAAGACCCGTTGTGTTCACCAACTAATCTCTACCACATGTACCTTGTAATAGCCTTTTTACTACTATTGGTGAAGTAATTAGTCTCTAGAATAACACTGGTAATTCAACAGGCATGTTAGCATAGAAGCTATTAGAAAAAACAAATTGTCAATTACTTAAAGAATAAACAGTACTACTTATTGAAGGCATATGCCCCAGAATCAAAATAGGACATATGAAATATGGGCTATCTTGATTTCTTCATAACTACCAAACTACACCCCATTTTACAACTACTCTGAAATCAATTTCTCATCCAAGGATTTCTATGCCAAAGCAAACTTTGCAGTGTATCACAAAGGTGATAAGCATAGGAAAGCCTAAGGAGTAGCATAAAAACACAATGATAAATGGTACAATAGTTACTGCATGGGAGAGTGCTCATAAAGTACCAAAAACGATGCCTCACATCAGAGCCCTTCACAATACCCACTAAAGATATATTTATTTATTTATTTATTTATTTATTTATTTATTTATTTATAATATTTCTACCTCGCCTTTCCTGAACCTGAAGGTGACTCAAGGTGGCTTTACAACATATGCAGCTATTCAATGCCATTAAAAACGTAAAAATTACAATAACAATGATAAAATACATACATTAAAGCCTTTGAAAACATATAAAAGGCTGTGACAACTTCATAGTGAGTGATATTTTGTTCCATGTGCTAGTAGTTCAGTTATACAAAATCCAAAAACTATATGTGCCTCAGAGACAAATAGTCATAATTAATCAATAAAGTCTAACTGTTTTGCTTTGATGTATTTCAATTATTACATTAGCTCCTTACAAACCTTGCATCAGCCAAAACATTTGTTCTTATGTTCTTTTCATATATTTTTTCTTTGCTATATAAGTTGCATTATCTTTTTGTAGTTATTAAAATGTTCTAACAATTGTTTGTGTTTTATTTATTTATTTACTATATTTATACCCTGCCCATCTCACCCTTGAGGGGACTCAGAGTGGCTTACATACATAGGCAGCAATTCAATGCCAACGTGAACATACAAAAAATAAAACAAAACATATACATGAAAACCATTGCTAAAAACATATCAAGCATTTAAACAACTTACTTCAAATGCTATAATCCAAGGCCATTCCAAATGCCATTATACCATTCTGTATTCTCTTATTGCTTTGTTACTGACTGAAAGCTTGGTCCCACATCCACGTCTTTAGCTTTTTCCTGATGTGGGAGAAAGAAGGGATGCACTGTTTGCCACAGATGGAGGCCTTCATTCATCCAGACCAGACTTACTAAAATGTCCTGGGCCTGATAGTATACCCTCGATTTTTATTGTGTGTCTAAAAAGGCTAAAATAGTCAGCGTCTGGTATTAGAAAGAGAAAAAAAATTACAGCGGAATAAAGTCTTCACTTTTTAAGTATCTAAGCAGCCTACATTCTTACTCTCACGAAATCCATACCTTTAAACATAGCTCTTTTATTTCTTGTTTTGAAAATGTATTAGAGGAGGATCGATTTTATCATTGTTGGATTATATGATTTTAATATTTATACTAGGATAATTTTAATTTTTTATTATATTATTTTAATATTTATACTAGGATGATTTTAATGTTTTGTCTGAATGTTTAAGTTTTGTTTATGTCTTATGTTTAATGTTTTTAATGATTTTAAGTCATAGTTATATGTAGTGATTAGTGATTATGATTTATTTGTTTTACTGTATGTTGTAAACCGCCTTGAATCCCTCAGGGGGGTGAGTAAAGCAGTATATAAATACAGTAAATAAATAAATATCAATGTAATTAAATGTCAAGGAGACTTGACTAGCAATTACATCAATTTTATATAGGCTAACAAATATGAGCTGAGATGATGCTGTGTGTGTGTTTTCCTATGTGTAACAGACATAAAACAATATATGAGCTTACTGTGATACATATGAACATTTTAATTGTTACTTTACTATGTTGTCTGTTATTAAAGTATCAATACACAGGTTAAGATTGTTACTAAATAGTTACTTTTCTCTCACACATTATTGTATAGGTATTGGTGGCAATCTTGTAGCAATTCAAGCAAGCAGAATTTCTACATACTTACATTTACATAGTGTTCCTGGAGAACTGCCAGAGGAAGCCAAGGGGTGCTATTACCCTTGCAGGACATACTATGGCACAGGTGTGTATAACATTCATTCTATCATTTTTCTTTGTGTATTTTGACTTCCAGTATTTAGCATCCTTTTTATCCCTAAAGAAAACATCATTATTATTCAATGTTGCTGTGCAGACTTAACTGAGCTTTTTGAGGTTTCACATAGCGCAGGTTAGAATAAATCAGAAACCACCAAGAGGCATTTCGTAATACTTTAGATTTGCTATAACAAAGGGGCCTGTTTTACTGTCCCTCTCTTGAGTTTCCTCTCTCAAAGGACATTCATTTGTATTGCAGTGGTTGCGTTTTGTTAGCTCAGCAAAATAAAGATAATTATATGATTGATGAACTGCCAAATTAAGAAATGCTGTGGTCTAATAGTACCTGCATGTTGTGTAGAATTTTAAAATTTCACTTTCTGTCCCCAAGTCCAGCTTACCTAAGGTAGCCAGAGTTTCCTCCTCCTTCATGTCCAATGGTGTTTATTTCATTAGTAAAGCCATTAGTATGACATACCAGAATCTAAAGAAGGGGCATGCTCTGAAGCCAAGAGGACCACAGTGGCCCAATTTTGGCTCCTGGAGTTCCGCAGGACCATACTGGGACTAGAAGTGTTGTCATGTTATTCCCAGTTGTCTTCCCTCCCCTCCCCCGGTGTTGGGTAAATTACTCTGCAGAGCAGCATTTTACTGATCCTAGAATGTGTTTAGGATGTCGTTGAGCTGAACATTTGGGATTGGCCGAAATTTATGGAAAGGCAGTATGAGGGCTGCGGATATGTCACTGGAGTCCCACAAATCATTTGCAACCTGCGAGCTACCCAATTCCCACCCAGAAACATAAACATACAGAATCATCAGTTATCAAATGCTCTGGCCTTGGTGTTTTATCAAAGTTCAATAATTCGTGTTTTGAGTTGCATTTTAAGACTCTGATATTTGAGCAATCTAGAGAGTTGGCCTTCAGGGTGCAGTTGTTCTGGCGACATAGCATCTTGTTAGGATAAAATGCTAAACATTTTACGCCCAACTCAAAATGTGAGCCTCGTCAGCTTTGTGAATCTTAATTCCCAAAATCTCCTTGTTCAGTGCTGAAGCTACTGTGTTTATTAAATGAAGGATAGAGGAGCCAACAGCTTTTGTTTAAGAAAGCACCGGGACTGTGGTGCAGTTGGCTGGGAGTCAGCTGCATTAAGATCACTGCTGACCAAAAGGTCATGAGTTCAAAGCCAGTCCAGGTCAGAGTGAGCTTCTGACCAATTTGTGTAGCTTGTTGTTGACTTTTGCAGCCCGAAAGACAGTTGCATCTGTCAAGTAGGAAATTTAGGTACCACTTATGAGGGGAGGCTAATTTATGACACCATAAAAATCTCGAGCAAGTATGCAAAGAATGAGGAAGTACTTCATCAGTGTTACAAATGGACGGCAAAGCGACAGCTCCCCTGGTGGCCAGAATACCCTCATGAAAAGGCTGGAATGTTACATAGCCTCTGTATGTCTGTCTATATATGTTGTGTGTCTATGGCATTGAATGTTTGCGATGTATATGTACATTGTAATCCACCCTGAGTCTCCTGCAGGGTGAGAAGGGCGGAATATAAATACTGTAAATAAAATAAAATAAATAAATAAATATTTTTTAGAATTAGATCAACAATGTGTAGGCAAAACTTTATTTAACATATATTGAATTTTAAAATGACATTTTAATGTGCAATCAGGTTTTGGTTGTCTTTCCAGAACATATAGACATGAATGAGGCAATAATCAGAATTAATTCATTACATTTAAGGGGCCCCAAGTACCAAAAGTATGCATCAGCATTGCTTTTGTTGTTCACAGAAAATACGAAGTTGACTGTATTGTTATTTATCTTTATTTACAGGAGTAAACAATAAATCAGCACAAGTTCTTCTACTTTTAGTGATTCCTGGACATTTAATTTTCTTGTACACTATTCATTTAATGAAAAGTGGACATACTTCTTTGACTCCAATCTTCATAGTTGTATATTTGTTCACAGCTCTCCTGCAGGTAAGAATAAAAAGATTTGCAAGGTTTATACTTGTTTCTACATAATCTGCTTAGAATTTGTTTGCAAAGATTTAAAATAGAGCAACTGTTCTTTTCATGAATATCTGTTCTCTTGCATCTTTTGTTTCAAGGTATTATAGTTTGCAAATGCTGAGGTATTTCTGTCTTCCCTCTTCCAACTACCTTCCCTTTTTTGTGGATGACCATTTTGGGCCATTTAGCACAAAAATATTTTATCAATTTATTTCATTCCATTCCTTAGCTGTATGTTGTTATAGTTTTATTTGATATACTAGCATTCATAATGTTTCTTATCAAGAAAGAATCATAACATCATAAGCAGTGCACAGCACTGCTTTTTAAAGCTTTCCCTCTTTAGCTCTGCATATGTTGTTCTGCAGCATCTGTGTCAGCATCTTATGCTGACAGACGGTAGCATTTATGAGGATATGCTTGATGCTGACACTTCAATCCTTCCTTTCATCATTCATTTAGTAAGATGCTGTACATAGTTCAGTATCAACTTGCATCCCAGTCTATGTGTGTGTGTGTTTGTGTGGGTGTGTGTGTGGCTGAAAATCTTTCTGAATAACTGAAGTAGTTTCTAGGTTTGACGCATAACTTCATGCTGAAGAGACAGAAAAGGACTGTGCTGTAATTCTTGCCTTAATAGTGTACCAGTTAAGGCAAGACATAGAACACAATTCATATTTATTCATAAGTAAATCCCAAATGAATTTATTGAACTTACCCAGTGTAAGTTTGTTTCAGATTTTAACTTAAGTGGGGAAAAAACTCTTAAATATTTTCAGCTCCTTTCTTGGCTCTCTGTATCTTGTTTTTTCTTCTGGTTTCTTTGCTATATCTCTTAGTTTTTTAGTTAGTGAAACCAGAAAACCAGAAAACATCATAGCTAGTGATAGCCTAAGGTCCATGATGGGGCAATTAATGTCATAAGCCTGAACACATTTGTGGGGTTTGTTTCCAAAAGGTACCAAATCAAGGAAGGAAGGAAGGACTTACAGCTGACTTACAGCCGGCAGCATATTGTTGGCTACAATATTATGCACAGGTCAAACCCTCAAAATGGAGTCTTGCATTTTATAGCAAAAGAATGCACATCCTCATCATTTTTTATTCTGTTAATATGGATTTGGTACTTTTAGGGAAAAAATCCACAATTAGTGGTTTAAATATCCTGTAAGCACTTTGGCAATATAATTTCTTTATGATGCACTATGATCAGACTCAGACAGTTTGGAATTTCACAACTCTGTAAATACATTACTTCTTTTTATTTTCCTCTGAAAATTACTGGGTCTCACATCCTTTAAACACCCTGGCAATCACTCATAAGTAGTTCTGAAGTTATTAAGAAGATTAAATAGCCAAATCTTGTATACCTTTTGATAGCATTATTTCTTGTATTATTTCTGTCATTTAAATTATTAACCAAATTCATTAGATTATCATCCTCTTTAATTATACAAGATAGCTCCATTGGTGCTGATTCATTCCTGCTTCTTTTAACCATGCTGAGGCCATACCCTTTTATCTTACACTACCTGCCTTGTAGTAAATGAGCTTAAATATACAGCGTTTGAAGTAGAAATTAGCATCTCTAGAAAGCCAAGATGAAAAAATGACCCAAAGCTACATAATCTGTGAACTTTCTGAAATGTGAGTTCATTTGCTATAGCATTGCCTTGCCCTATCTAATTCATTATTCATTGAATTGATTTTAGTGAAAAATGCTGCAGGTCTCTCTGCATTCTAGGTCTCTTATGATTGTTTATTGTGTTAGATCAAAATTAAGTCAATAAAACATGTGACTTTTTAGATTCGGAAAAATACTTATCCTCTTTTGCAGACTTAGCCATCTTTCCAGTCACACTGGCAGTTGCTTCTATTCTAAAAGAAGCTAGAGAGAAGTAGGAAATATCTTCAGCATGGATAACTTTCACAATTCTTGTTGTCTGCCACATAGCACTATATATGATTCTTAAATATATTTGACATTACTAGATTAATGCAATTATTTTGTATTTTCAGCTTTTGTTTGTCATTGAAATTAACACTTTAATCGATCATAATATATGGGGAGGGGAAAGAAAAAGAGAGAGGGGGGGCTAATGCATAACAGTTTAAAATATATAAAAGGCCAATGAGAAGTATACTATAATCCCTTATTCAAATTTATGACTTTAAGTCAGAGATGTCTAATTTCTGGCTATTTTAGGTTTATAGGATGACATATCTCATAAAGTAAAAAAATCTTCTTCTTTTTTAAAAAAGTGACAAAATAAAATGAGCTCCAGCCCAGAGGAACTGATCAAATTAATAGGATTAAAATTTAACAAATTTTCATAGATTTGAAGGAACCTGACTTTCTCTTGATAAAAACCTGTGCATTTTAGTGTATTTTAAATAGCTGGCATGCTATCCAAAAATACTACAGCAGATTTTTCAAAATAGTGTAGTTACTCCAACTTTTAAGCATATTTCAGTCACAACTTCAGACATCCCTTTAAAATGCCCATAGATTATGTATTCATGCGTAGCTAGTATTTCCATGCATTTATAAGTATTTCTCCCTAGTTATAGTCTTTCTTTGTAGATAATGACTTAATGTGCAGACCTATCTGTAGTTTAGGAAAACAAACCATGCTCTGGAAATGATACAAATTCAAGAAACTTATGTATACTTTGTAGGAAGATAATCTTGCTCTGAGACAGCTATGCGTGTGTGATTGAATGATTCTTGTTAAAATAATAATAAAGTACAGCCTGCACGAACGATATTCATCTGGGTATATAAAAAAAGACTTCATTTTCAGACTTGTCAGCCACCATCAGACTGGAGGCCAGACTCCAGTAACCAAGCCGTCATGTTTGCGATTCAGTGTTTGTGACTTTCAAAGGTGCCCTCTGTACTCGGGGTCCCTGCTGAGCCAGTAAAGAGCCCTCTGGAAATTTCACACCTCCAAGGCAAATCTCTGAACGCAGTTGTGTTAAGGGCCATGGGAATAAACAAGTAATGGGAAACTCTAGACGTTATTGCCCAATAAATTTGCGGAGGTAAAATAAAATTGATTGTATCCACTAAAAATCAGAATTGTTGTTCTGCAAAATATCACATTCCCCGTTTTCCTGCTTGTGGAAGCTAGACTTCATTATATTAATTGCTGACCCTTCCCTTCTAAAAACAACACTCTGGCCTCCAGGCAGTTAATTATCATTTGAGAACATTTATCCCTTAATAATAGGTGAACAAAATTGCCTTAACGCAAAAACACAGTGATAAATGTTCATCGGTTTTGAGAAGAAAAATTAATAAAAACACAATTAAGAGCATATTTTTGCTGGCAAACTATGTTCTAACAATATAAGCATAGTTTATCTTTAACTACCCTGTTGAAATTTTTTTTTGGATGACACATTTTCCTCCATAAGTGAGATGGACATGTTCTCAGTTACAATCTACATATATTTAATATTTTGGTTAATGCAGAGGAACTGTTTCTTAAATTCTATATGTGAAAACGTGGAATATGTAACCCAATATTTGAAACAATCTAAGGCACAACTGTAATTTATACCTGAGCCAAATATCAGTGTTAGACTAGACAAGTCATAAAACAGTACAGGTTATTTCTTACCTCAAAGTATTTTTTTTTTTTGGGGGGGGGGGGGAACTCAATTGGAAAGATGCAATTTCATGGGTTGGAAAGGCATATTTGCAATACTTATTTATTTTACACACACACATGCCATATGCTACTTAATAACCAATGTTATTTATGTTAGGGTCCAGAAGTATCTGTAGCATGTTAAGCAGCTGCACCCCTATTTTTAGAGACAGTTAAGATGTTATGTGAGATAACAAATGGCATTTTATAAGTCAGAAAGACAAAGAACATAAGAGAGATTAGAAGAAGGCAGAGTTCCAGTGGATTTCTGTTAGTTACTGTGCCAGTTTCTTGTTTTTGTTTTTTATGTTTTTACTAAATGATGTAAAAATGTGCTTGATTTCAGATCAGTGAATAATGTTTGGCTGGAAGGGTCAGGAGGAGGCCAGAGTTTCTTGTGTCAGCTGAAATGGCCTTTTGCTAACTAAACTGCCTTTATGCCAGTACAATAGCCTTTCTGCTGGCTCAGAAGAGCATGGGAAGGATCAAGTTATGCCAGTTCTAAATTTCCCTCAGCCCAAACCAACAATTAATGTGTCCGGAAATGTTAGACCAAGCCCAGGATTGTCCTAAATCATTTCCAGAATCCCAAAGCTGAAACTACCAGCACAGCTGGCCCTTGGCCATCTTACTGAGTTAGGAGCATGCTTTGTGTTACAAATGGTGGCTTAAGGCAAGGTGACAGTGGGAATGACCTGTGTAGATTCACTTCACTCTGTTTTGGGCTTGAGAAATGTAATAAATAGCTGTTTTGGTGATATACTGCTATAAAACTTTTAAGGTTTTGTTCTTCAGGCTGCAAGGCATTTGACCCACAAGGAAAACAGGCAAAGAAAGAGTCATTGCCATGCATTTCTGTTTAGAAAACCACTGTTGAGCTCCATGTGGGCAGTAATTTACTTCCACAGTCCCACTTTAAATGCCTGGAGGCAGGCTCTGTAACAGCAGTAGAATAGATGGCATGGCAGGAGGCAACTGCTGACTACCACAGATGAATTGACTGTCATACAGTGATTTCATTTCAGCACTTGCAGAAACATAAACTCTCTTCAGCTTCTTGTGTTTACTTACATATACAGATGATTGTTCTCAGTACTTTCCTGGGGTTTCCACATTTTTCTTTCATAATGTATACATTGGGAGTCTAAAGATGCAAAGACAAAATTCGAATAGTGTGGAAATTAATGTTTCTCTCAGCCTCTCCAAGACAAAATATTACCCACCAAATCCAAGATTATTTTTGGTGACCAGTCTTTATGAGCACAGACATGCAATGAAAAAAAAACCCTTTTTCAATATTGTGGTCATTTTTCTTGTATTTCAGAGTGGTAAACTTGAAAGACACAGTAATAATTTACCATACACAGTTCTTTCACAAATGTTATTACTAATTTCATTCATTTGCATCTTATATCATAGCAAGTTATGAAAAAACTACACAATGGAACAAATTTGAGGTTATTTTTGGATTGAGAATGCCAAATTCCTATTAAAATGGCATACATTTCTTTTTAAAAAAATGTTATGCTTCTCAATTTTGAGGAAGCTAGTCTCAGTTTGACAGAGATCTAAAGCTCATATCTTTATTCCAGTTTTCTGGGGAGATGAAGAAAATCAAGTGGCAAAAATTTTCTGTGTAGGTGTTACAGATTGATAATATAGCTCTTTGGCAGCAAGGGTTTGGTGAGGTGTAGAATCACTTCTTGTATCTCAGACATGGGCAAACTTTGGCCCTCCAGGTGTTTTGGACTTCAACTCCCATAATTCCTAACAACTGGTAGGCTGTTAAGGATATGGGAGATGAAGTCCAAAACACCTGGAGGACCAAAGTTTGTCCATGTCTGTTGTATCTTCTACTCTGACTGGTTCACATATCTGTATCTTGTTCTACCTTGTTCTACCTATCAACCATGATTTTATGCCATATCCAAAAGGGGAAAAATACTCTCTTTTCAAGCAAAACCTTTTCAGTATCTTCTTTAGAAGCAACATCGGTATCTTTTTTCATACCTCCTCAAATGACATTTTAGTACCACCAGCAGAAAAAAAGTACAGTGATTCTAAGCACCTACATTTTTGAGATGTTTATGTGGGGGAAAAGTGTGTCTTAGAATTTATGAAATAGAGTATTTTAGTTAGTTTAGAATCCATTTGGTGGAAAAAGCATTTCTGTTTATTTCTCCCCTATGGTAATACAGAGCCGCACAGTCATTTCATGTTCTTTCATACCTATCACATCTGATTACAGATTTCTGCGCATCTGCAGGTCCCATCCCACTGAGAGATGGGAATATCTGGTAGTTTGCAGCATGCACAATTTCTGTCTTGGCTAACATATGTGAGAGGAAAGTTGACAGGATGATGAAGCAGTTCTCTCAGGACTGGGAATAGGGAGAGATTTGTCTTTGAGCGTCATGCTGTGGTCTTGGGCAACTGAAAGAAGAGAACTAAATAATAACTCTGCATGTGAAGTGGAGTGCCAGGAGATTGACCATGTATCGCTGTTGTGGAGAATGTTGTTGTTTATTTGGAATCTCTAAAAGTTGACAGATTCTGCATGGGGAGTTTATTGGGCATCACCGCTGTGTATAGACATGGACAAAGAGGAACTGTCTTGAAAAATCTGACAGGTTTCTCCAAAGAAAACACGTCTTTTCAAATGTATGTGTTTGGACTGCAGAGAAGTGCACCTAGCACTTGCGTAATTAGCTTCAACTACAGAGTTGCTTTTTCAGCAGGGATATTTATCTAAATATCTTATGCATGTTCCATAATGGAAAAGGAGGGAAGAAATTGGCTTATTTAAGAACCATATGGTTACATTTTAAATATTCTTTTGTAGTAAAAAATCAAAGGTAGGGATTCTCTTAGAAGTATTAAATTATTTCATCATCCTTAATGCTGTAACATCATTTTAACTTTCATTTTAGGTACTTAAGTAATCGTTATGGAAATGCGAATGTTCAAAATGGTCTTTGAAATACTAAAGCAAAATACTCAATACACATAATGCACAGTATTGGTGCACATTTTTCATAATTACTTGTCTCAAGAAATCTTTTCAGTTTAATCCTATTGTTAATGCTGACTAGAATAGATCGATTGAATCAATGAAAATTTTGTAAGTTCACACTCATGTAAATCCCATTGATCCACTGAGTTTACGCTTGATTAATAAGTGATTTAGTTCTTTGAGCTTTAATATAACAACACTTAAATTTAAAGGTGTTCTTGTTGCTGTTGTTTTCCCATAGGTGTTTATCTTGTTATGGATTGCTGACTGGATGGTGCACCACTTTTGGAAAAAAGGAAAAGATCCAGATAGCTTTTCTATCCCTTATCTCACTGCACTTGGAGATCTTCTTGGAACTGCCTTACTTGCAATGAGTTTTCACTTTCTGTGGCTCATTGGTGACAGAGACGGGGATGTAGGAGACTAATGTACCAAATGCTCACATTAGCTGATCCTGCTAGATGAAGATGAGAAACAGGAGACAACCACTTAATATATTATTTCCTCTGAAGGATTTGACGAATTTGTTTGTTGAATTTGATCATGGTGCAATCCTACACACATCTACCCAAAAATAAATTTGACTGATTTCAGTGGAACTTATTCTCAAGTAAAAGTGTTTAGGATTCTAGCCTCATTGTGTTATCACTGATACTAAATGGCCTTAACATTTTGAAATTATGAAACGTAACTGGACAAAAGGTTAAAATATTTTTTACACTACACAGGAGTGTAGTTGTTGCTTTCTCACTCCATCCAACTACAGAAGGGGAAAGTTTGGTCAGTATTGTACCAAGAAACAAAGCCCAGGTATGTAGTGGAGGTGCGGTAAATAACAAAATGATATGATTTTACCATGTCTTTATCTGTCTATCACAGATCAGTGTATGTTTCTGCAGGCAGTCTGGCTGTATTTCAACTCACACAATGTAATGGGTTCACAAAATCAAATGTTTCTATTTTATAGTTAGGTTTTCTGAATTTGGGTAGATTTTGCTTAATAGTAGCCAAAGCTTTCTGCATGTAATTTTTTTCTCAAAAAGAGACATTCCATAGGGATATTCTATTCAGTACTTCCTTTTAGTTGCTGCAAAAACACCATAAAGCAGTGGTTCTCAATCTGTGGGTTCCCAGGTGTTTTGGCCTACAACTCCCAGAATTACTAGGCAGTTTACCAGCTTTTAGGATTTCTGGGAGTTGAAGGCCAAAACATCTGGGGACCCACAGGTTGAGAACCACTGCCATAAAATAACTTCTGTTCTTCACAGAAAATGGAAGGATTTTTTAATAATAGAGATAATACAGTTTGACCATGCATGGACTTTAATGAAGTTATATTAATAATTGCATTTCAAAAGGCATATTAACACCGTTTTAAAATGTTCAGTTATGTACTTTGCAATTTATTGTAAAGGGAAGTGTAAGTTCTACAGGGAATGAAGGCTACCTAGAATACACAGGGGATGAGTGTGGGGAACTAGATTTTGATATGTAGTTATGGGAAAGCTGCTATGTGTATCTTAAAGACAAAACTGATAGAGATGGCGATATGTTATATTTTTAAGAAATGCCGTTGAAGACAAGGAGGAGCCATTATAATCAGTAACAATGCTGCACAGATATATACAAATAGTGGTTATTACTACTGTGTAGGTGCCACCCTGCAGCAGTTGGGCATTTAAGGGCTTTTCCAAATTCATTTTATTGTGAAATAACAATGTTGTTTCTACTCCAGTGTTCTGGAAGATTCTGGCATCTTTTCGGATATAACACTGCTGTAGTAAGGAAATCACATTTTCTCAGTGCTTGAACCAGAAAATGTTGTGCTAATAAAACATCATTTCCCAGGGCTAGTGTGCAAATGTTTGTAACCGATGTGGTTTGTGGGACGGGTTTGTGCGGTATAGATACCCTTTAAGTTCATGTGGGACTCTCATTAGCAATAAAGCTTGTATAACTTCTGCATCATTCCATTTTTTATAATAAAAGATCTACAAAGAACATGCGTTTCTCTTTGTAGAACTTCAAATGTAGGAAATCCCTTGCATCGCCTGAGTTAACAATCTTTATTTCTTAGTCAAGTGCTGCATAATACATTCTGAATATAGAATTAAAATTTGGAGGAAGATCATAAAAATGTTTCCATACCCGTTGTTTCAGTTTATGGTTTTCTGTCAGTTGTGCAGTGCCTTGAGTGTTGTCTAAATAAAAAATTCAAATCATGACAGCACAGTTCCCCATGCCACCAGGAAGGTTTAGAAACCACCACGAAGGTTATACAAATTGAATGGTGAAGAATGTGCATTTTGAATCAACACCTATGAAATTTATGTGTAGTTGTTCCCTTTTTATATATCCAGATGATATGAATTGGTCAAGACTAGGGTTTCTCTACCAGGGTTTCCTAGAACCACGAGATTTCATGAGAGGTTTCTATGAATTATGTGGGAGATTGTGATTTGGGGAGGGGGGGGAGCTGTAGATAAAATAATTTTGATGTAAGGGTTCTGTGAGATGCAAACATTTTTTCAAGTATTCATTCCTCACAAAAAGATTTAAGAGGCTAAATGATTTGTTTTAAATATATTTACAGAAACCCACATGCTAAGTTCTATTAATATACTAGAAGCATTCAGTTTGCTCTTGGTATCTGCTGGCGTTTGGTTTCCAGGACCACTCACAGATAACAAAATCCAGAGATGCTCAAGTCCTATTGTTTACAATGGCATAATAAAATGGTGTTCCTTTTATAAAATGACAAAATTAAGGTTTGCTTTTTGGATTTTAAAAAATAATTTCAAGTTGCAGATGGTTGAATCCGTAAATACAGAATCTATGGTTACAGAGTCCTGTTATTTACCATGGCATAGTAAAATTGTGTCCTTTTTATGAAATGACAAAAATCAGGTTTGCTTTTTGGATTTAAAAATATATATATTCAAGCTGTGGATGTTGAATCCTTAAATATAGACTCTATGGATACTTGCTTGCTAAATGCCCCCTTTTCAAGAAAAACAAGAAGTTAGCAGTTGTTTAGCTTCCTAGTAAAAACCTTCCATTAATAACTTTCCCCAAAGAATAAAACATGTTTGAATATGTATTTATAGTTAACTCTATATTTGGATATTCTTGAAATGAGCTTAAAGCAGGAACATGACTTTTTCCCCCAACTGATCATTGAAACAAACCAATGAAGTGGCTCAAAGTGAGGGACGACTTGCGAAATGATATGGAATCATATTCATGGCTCTTCATCTCCCACATCCCAGTCCACTCTACTATACTATTAAAGAGCTACTATACTACAGTAACTCATAATTATTGAATGCCTAGCACTGACAATAATATTTCATAATGAGAATAGAAAATATGATTGTCACCCGAGGCCCCCTTATTCCCCTGAGAGGATATTGACATTTTTTAATGGTACCTTATGTATATTACTTATGTCATTTTGTTTTCAGGAGAGATTGAAAAGAACTCAACTCACTAATATTTGAGGATATAGCTCTAGATTTTATTTGTCGTGCCAGGGCAACCAGTCAATTATATTACATTTCTAACAGAAATAGCTCTAGATACTATTATGTTTTCAATTCTTGTTGAGATACATTTGTCTGATGGAATTGTCTGATGGAAAACAATTTAAAATTTGAAGATACAATGACATTTTGAAGTTCTTGGGAACCAAATGAAATAAATAAAAGGTCTTCTGTTTTTAATATAGTACTGTTTATTTATTATATGTTTACTATCTTAATTTGCTTATGCTATAAGTTTGCATGTGCATGCAGCTAAGATGCCTAAAATATGCTTAATACTTTGGAACAGATTAGCTCAACTACCAGTACTTACTCTGCAGTTTAAGAATAGTTTATCCGCTATCAGAAGATTTTAAAAAGAGAGAGTTGTCATTAAATGTTATGTTAAGAGAGCACTCTTAGGTAAGATTTCAGTGAAAGAATACTTTTAAAGAGTCTTGATTTGCTATCTGACACTTATTTTTAAAGCCTACTATATTTTAGAACCTTAGAGTGGTTTGGGTTTTCTTATTTTATAACTCCCTGGTCTTCCCAATGTAACTTATCTGGAAAAGGAGAGATATATGTGCTGGGATTTGTACTTCTGCTATCACCCTTTTCCAAACGGACCTAAGTTTGGATCAGCTATTATGATAACAGTAGCTTCAGGCCTCCTGCTTCTAGTAATGGACACTTAAATCTTGTTGAAAGTAGTCCCTGAGAAGAGAGATATTGTGTGGCAGCAGTGATGGAGGGTTCCTGAACAATTTGAGGAAAGCAACCTGTGCAAAATAATTCATTTTCTGCTGCTTTCATCTGGAGAGACTTGGTCTTTGACTGGTTATATCTTAGCAGTGATGTTAGCTATATGATAGCATTCTGAATACTCAGGGTACTTAGAATGCTATCATATAAATATTTTAGAAATGCAAGACATATTGAGTGTTTTGTTGATGAATTATACTCAGTTGCATTCTCCTCAAAGTCCTGGGAATGATCTCTCGTTTAGTATTTTAGCTGCCCAACCTTAGCTTGCTCAAGGCTTTGTGGCCACTCACATTCAGATGGATTGTTTCTGTCATACCATTGAGTAGTTTATTATTTATTTATGTATCAGTTTAAAGGCAGCCTTTTAGAGGAAATCATCCTATAGCAGTATACATAATTAAAACCATAGAACATATAAACAAATGATAACAAATAAGGGAGAATAAATAAACTGAACCAGGAAGTCACTAGCACCAATTCCATAAGTGCACCCAATAAAATAGCTCATTTATAGACCAAGCTAAAGAGGTATGTCTTGAGGACATCCCTGAAGGTTTGCAATGATTGAGTCTGGCAGACGGCAATTTGAGCAGAGTTCTATTACTGGAGATACATCATTAAGAGGTTCTACTCTAGCATGGACACATGAATGTTTATAGTTAAATATGTGTCTTGGCTGTAAAATGTCTGCATTTGGATTTCTTGTACCTGAAGATGGATAGGAAAGACTCTTCACAGATACTGCATCTATATCCCACCTTTCTCTCAGAATAATAATAATAATAATAATAATAATAATAATCTTTATTTATGGGATTCAAGGTGACTATAAAATGGTGTCCTTCTTATTGTCCTTCCGATAGCAGCAGAAGACTTTTGAAAATTTGGACAGACTTTTAACAAAGAGTTAGAAGCACTGCATTGTGGGAAATTGGTATATTGTGTAACTTTTGAATTCTTTTAGAGTATATGTTTTAATATGACTATAGCTTAATTTTGATTTTAATGTAGATGTTCGTATGTTTTTTAATGTATAAGCTGTCTTGAATTCCAGTTTTGGGGTAAAGGTGGTATATAAATTAAAGAGGAGGAGGAAGTGGAAGAGAATCGATAAAATTGCAATAGCCATGAAAAGATTAGTTCCAAGTATCTATTTCATAGCTAAGACTATCTAAGATTAGCATAAGTATCTGCCTGTAGAGTTATGCTTTCCTAGCCCTATGCTATTCTTATACTGAATACCATAGTAGTCCAACATACAGTGAATGCACATAGTAGTCCAACATACAGTGAATAGCTACCACCTCACTGTGTAATGCACAGCCCAAAAGGGATACACTATTGCAGGTATATTATTGTACATCTACTATTGTACATGAGGAACTCCACTCCAACTGGCATCAACTGGACACATCCATTCCTCATTGTCCATCAAAGTAACAGTGTCTCCATGTGTAGTGCGGCGTATACATGTATCTGGATGTATTCTGTTTGGATAGCTCTAACAAAGACATAATTAAAGCAAGTGGAAGCTTAGACATTCTCCAGTAAAATGGTCAACTACTGTAAGATATTTAACATAGAGAACCCAGCCCAGAATGGTAAGTTTGGCTGTTTGGTATGAAAATTGTACTTTAAATATTTACATATCTTAATATTTTAAAGACTTTTCAAACTATGAGATTATTACATTGCATTAATGTTTCATAGACTACAACACAGTTGGAACACGCATTGTCACAATTAATATGCACCTTTTGGAAATGTTAGGTCTCCTGGAATGGAAATAGAACTGAGTTGTAGATCCTAGCTTTTATGACTTCCTTAGAGGAAGTGGAACATTGCTTCAGTGTCACTGCACGACATGTTTAATACTACCTATTAATTTCTTGCAAACCCTGCGGTAAAAAGCTGGCTAATTTGACTGGAGAGAACAGGGAAATAGTTCTGCCAGTCCGCAATCTCATCCTACCTAATATTAATGCTCATAACATTACAACATTGTGGCTGTTGCAATCATCAAGTATATGAATAATGCAAGAACATAAATCTGAAGCCTCCAGGTACCACATTGATTGAAACCCCTCTACAGATGTATTTTTGGAAACCTTGTAGTTGCTGGGCATCTATCCACTATGAGTAGAGACGGAGCATCAATCCAAGAAAAAAAAAACCATCAGATGATCAGACCCAACTTTCCCTGAAATAATTCCAACCCACAATGTAATGCTAGCATGACGGCAGGAATGTTTCATTCATTGCTTTTTTAGGAAAAACAAAAAAAATATTTAGATAATAAATTCATAGTAAATGTCCATGGCATATGCTTTAAAAAGCAACAACCAGAAAAACTAGACAATATGTCTAAATGCAAAAAGAAAATTTAAAAAAGAAAGAAATGACAATCTATTCCATTGATCCAAAAGTCAAGAAAAGAGAACATCGTTTCAAAGGCTGACGTGATGAATAGAACCAGAGTTGTTATTGACATGAGCAATAAATTGAGACCAAACACTGTAAAAGCTTTCAGTCTTTTGTATGCCATTCTAAAGTGTTGTCTTGTTCCTAATGTGTCAGAAGTGGAAGCAAAAAAGATTTTTTCAGAATACAGACGATTTTATTTGAATGTGATTCTGAAGCAAAAAAAATCAATGAGAAAAATGAACTTTCAT